GGAAGGAAGGAGGGAGGGAGGGAGGGAGGGAGGAAGGAAGGAAGGAAGGTGGGAAGGAAGGAAGGAGGGAGGGAGGGAGGGAGGGAGGGAGGGAGAAAGGAAGGAAGGAAGGAAGGAAGGAAGGAAGGAAGGAAGGAAGGAAGGAAGAAGGAAGGAAGAAGGAAGGAAGGCAGGCTGGCTCACAGTTTCAAACGTCCTAGCCATGGCCAATAAGCCCGGTGGGGTGGCTTTGGCCATGTGACAGCACAGAGCATCATGGTGGGGACATGTGGGAGGGCATCTCATGGCAACTGGAAAGCAAAGAGAGTGGCAAGGAAGAAGATGATAAACCTTACCATGAGTTCTCTCCAAACACTTAACTCCCGAAAGAAGGCTCCATCTCCCCAAGGCTCCATTACCTCCCTCTCAGCAGCACAAGACACACTGGGGACGAAGCCCGTAATACATGGGCTCTGCAGAGACATCGCTGATAGAAACTACAGTGGTGTACAGGTAGAATGTGCTGTAACTGCGAAATGCATCCCAGATGCCAGGCATTTAAAATGAAAAATAATTTGAAATGTGCCCATGGGCCGGTGAGAGTCGGCTTAGTAGGCAGAGAGAGGTTCTTCTCTCCAAAGTACAGAGACCTGAGCGCAGGGCCTGGAGCTCACATAAAGGTCGGCGAAAAGAATCTCACAAGGCTGCCTTCTGGGCTCCACATATGTGTGCGCCCATCACACACAAAAAGCACACAGCAGCAATGACAATAAATCAGGGCCAGCGAGGAGGCGAAGTAAATAAAGAGCTCGCTGCATAAGGCTGATGGCCTGAGTTCAAGCCCCAGAACCTTCCACGAAAGGCAAGAACCAAGTCCCAAAAGTTGTTCATTTATCCCATGCACAACTGCTTGCTCTCTCTCTCTCTCATACATACACATGCATACACACACACATACAAATTAATTGATTAAAATAGTAAACTTCTAAAGAATTTAAATACACCATTAATTTCTTGAACGGTTGTATGTGGAAATGATAACCTGGATATATTAGATTTAACAAAATATATTATCCAAATTGATGTCACGTGCCTCTTTTTACATTAAAATTTTTATTACATTTATTTCCAGGGGAAGGGAGTCTCACTTGTGTCACAGTGTGTGTATGGAGGGCAGGAGACACCTGCAGGAATCTGTCCCATCCTTCCACCATGTGAGTCCTAGGTATGAGCTCAGGTGGTCAGGCTTGGCAGCAAGTGCCTCTGAGCCATCTCAGCTTCCCTCTTTTTATGTTTTTGAAGCGACTCTTAGGAAATGTGAATGCGTGCATGTGGCTCTCGCTGTATTTCAACTGGATGACAAAGGTCTGGACCTCAGTGCTATCACCCGGGCTCTGAGTGAGTACTGAGACAGGCTTACCTGTGAGCCCTGGAGGCGCCGACTCCACCCCCCCCCGTGATCCCCCCCCCCCCCGTCTACCCCCAGCCCTTGCCCATGGGAGCAAGACAAGACATGGCCTCTGTGACACTCAGGAGAGCAGTCATGAATTTGTTTCTCGGAACCAGACAGGTGACCTATCAAGGGAAGGGTTGGAAGAGAAGCCTCATGTGGCCACCAAGCGTTTTTAGTAAAGTCAGTGCACAAGAGGGAAATAGCTCCCTGCGACAGGGTCACTGTGTGACATCTCGGTCCAAACTGTGGACTCAAAGGTCCTTGGTAGCCCTCTTCTACTCTTACTCAGCTCTGAGGGTGGAAAGTCCCCATTCTAGTCAGCCCAAAAGTTTAGGACAAAGCATTAGGTCTTCTGGCACCCACTACCGTTCACCCTCTCTTAACTTTAGTTACCAGAAATATATACTAGTCAGGTGGGAACCTTGTAGCCTGCACCTGTC